TGGCAATGGCACCTCTGTTTGACGAAGAGAACACTGAGGATGACACATGTCACTCTGCCGATGTCCACATTGAGTTCCTCAAATCTGTCCTAAAGGACGTTAAGAGATTTAAGAACAGTGTGCTTTTTATTGTGGGGGACAACTGCTCTGTTAACTTAACGGCGTATAGCTAGCAATATTTGTGTGAAGTTAGTCGGCTGTGCGAGCCACCGTCTCAATCTGTCGCGGGGGATGTACTTAGACGACTACGAAGGCATCCTGTCCAAGATCAATAGTTTGATGAAGGATTTCAAGAAGCTGAACAACGCGGCAAGGTTGAGGTACTGAATTTAATTGATTCGTTTTTATTATGTCGTAATTTCGAGGGGTGGCTACAAACATCGGTATTTTTACTCAGACTGTACACAGTTTTTTCGATAGCAAGCGGCCTGTCACGCTCGGCTCTTACCGGTACCTCCGATATCGTCTAGGGTCGCGAGCGGTTATGGTCTCTTACTAGTTCCTACCGATACTCAACGGTTGTGTTCCTATCGATCAAAGATATGCTAAGTAGAGGTGTTAAGCAAGCTACAACGTTGCTGACCCTTCGTATGGTCGTACCCTTGAGATCTTCGATAAAAACCGCGACACCGTCACCTTGCGAGCATTGACGCGACCTTTATGGTGGCAGAGGAGCCGAGGCATGCAGGTACTGCAGCAGCCCGCAGTCCCAGAGAATCGGAGGTATGCAGGTACTGAAGCCGCCCGCCAAGACGAGTTGTGTGTAGCATATTAAGCCGATGATGGGATGTGCGGTCTCCTTTTTATAATAGGAGACACCAAGTCGAGACGAGCCTTCGCTGCGCAGTAGGTCTCGCCAAGTGATTTTTTGTGGATTTGCTACTCTACCGGTTCGACAATGGTTCAACCAAGTTACCTAAGAAGTAGTAAATGGAAAAGTACTTCAGTCGCGAAAACTTTGTGAATTCATAGCACTGATAAAACTTAACACAGCTAACTTAACGCAGCATACCTCACAGCCGTACGAACTGTGATCCCCCGGCACGGCGGCCGGGCTAGCAGTGTATCCATCTAGGCGAAGTACCTCACTCAAACCTAGGGTTGGTAATTCACCGTTAATTACCGGTTATTAACTATTAATATCATTTACATTCGATGTGCACACATCATTCACACTTGATGCTCAACGTTAATATCGAAGTTTGCATGCAGAGCAGATCATTGCTCCCTCAACTTCCCTTCATCACTCCCTCCCCCCCTCCTTCCTGTCATCATTCTTCAGAACATGCCTTAAGCGGCATTCTTTAGCCACTACACTCCCGGCTGACATCGTCACAAGCTCGCTTAATAAGAAGCCATCACTCAGATGTCAAGCGCTGCAGCTAGATCCAAGGTGTTAAATCGCTCGCCACCACGTATCTATCCGTGCCCGTCAACTTTCAATGGCGCCGCCTCAGCACAAAATTTGGGGTCTGTTTGAGATCACTGCACCTCGAGTTAAGGGTGGAAATGCCCATACTGATGCAAAGTGCTTAGCCTGTCAGGTAGAGCTTAAAAATGCTCAGCCATCTCGAAATATGATCAAACATGTCATCTCATATCCTCGAATTGATGATCAATCTAAAGGACAATGGCAAGAACTAGATGCCGGCCGCCGACACAAGCAAGACTCCAGGTT